CAGGAAAACCACCTTTTTTTCGTTTGTTGTTTCAAACCAAAAATGAAGAAATGGGACAAAAGAGCCGTTTTTCGATTTTTGGTTTCTGAATCCATCCATCATTCATCCTCAGCCCAGAGTTAAACCTGCATGCCCTTCTGTTCTAACCTGGTTCTAACACTGCTGTCAGCTTCTTAGCAGCTCTGACAACAAACTAACATCAGAAATGCCCTAATGTAGGCCATCTGGCCAAAAGAATGATTTACCAATGTGCTATATAGGCTGCTGTGTGAATCTTTCTTCTCCATACACATTCCAGTGTGTATAACATACAACTCTCCCACATGCAAGTGAAGAGAATACATACAAGTTTTTCAATACAACATTTATTCAACATATACAGCACATACATACTTTCAGTGTCAGTGAATGTACAATCTATGGCTGCAGAACATAGACTGTGAAGCCATAAGTGAAGAACATTTTATGAGGTCCTCCATAATTAAATTGTTTAAAAAACAGGCTGTGAACGCTGAGAATGTCTTCTCGAGACGTCAGTCAGGCCTCTGAGGCTATTTGTGCAGACTTCAGCACAAATTACAGATTATTATTACTTGTTTAATTGTGGCATGAATGGTTCATTAGTGACTACCCTAATCAACACCACAGTTGTTATCTTAATTATTTGTAAACAGTTTTAAAAAGATGCGTGTGAGAGGGACCAAGAGAGGAAGGGGGCCCACAGAGACTGCTTAGGGCCCAGAATTTTGTGCTATGCCCCTACCTTTGTGCACCGTTTACCTGTCCACATTTTTGCAGACTTTGCCTGAGGGAATTGCTCACAGACTGTGAAGTCATGATGTGAAACTCAGAAGCAAGCAAACCACGCTATAAGAAAAGAAAGAAGAAGAACAGGAAAAAAACAAGCATAGAAGGAGCAACCAACCCTGACATTAAAATCGTTTAAAAAAAAAGAGCATACATGTAAGCAAACACAAAACTCACTGATGGCTCATATAGCCAGAACTATGTGTAGTTTGACCTATGATGGCGTGATAATTATTGACAAATATAGATTGCCGGATCCGTTCTGTACATGCGCAAAAGTGGTTCTGTCAGTAAAACTTTCTTAAAAGGAAGTTTTTCCTTGCCTCTGTTGCCTAGTGCTTGCTCTTGGTGGGAATTGTTGTCTTTTTGTAAATAACATCACCAGTATGGTCTAGACCTGCTCTTTTATGAAAAGCATTATGGGATAACTGTTTGGCGCTATATATAAAATTTAATTGAATGATTGATGATATCTACCAATGTGGTAGAAAATCTACATCTAACTAAAATGGAAGGGGAAAATCATAGGACAGGCAGACATAAAGATGTATGCCTGTATGCCTAAAGATGTATGAGGACGCGCACACAGACAGCTGCAGACCGGCCCGGTCTGAACAGGCCCATTTTGAATGGGCACTGCACTGGTCCTTCTCAATCAACCATACATTCAAGTGACTTATTTTCTCAGCCTTTCTCCGTCATTAACTTCTGAATCTGGTAATACCTCCATGAAGTGAGTGAAGCTCTCTGTTGTGCAGTCTTCACCACAGTAAATCTGTCTGCAGCCTTGATCTTTCCGGTGACGTTGGCAGCACTTTTGTCATTCCACACGTCAACAGTCTGAATACCTGAAAGTGAAAAGAAATGAGTGTTTCCTGCGCAAATGCTTTACCAAAGACCAGTGGCTGCTCACAATAGGACGTGCTGTCATTGGCTGTGTGTGTCCTGCTTTTCAGCTGCCATATCTGACATATATTAGTCTTCACTCTCCTGTCATCAGTCACTCCCCTGCACTGATGTCTGCTTGCCCCTCTGGTTTCTCCTCAGCCTGTACACGACAGTGAGACATATGAGACACATCCAGGTAAGTTTGTGCTCTTACCACCAATAACTTATAATGTAAAAATGGCTTTTATTAGTAACTGTTTGTTACTGCATTGTATGTACCATCTAGATTTTCCCTAATAGTCCCTAAGTTGTTAAGGCAAGAGATGTTATTTATAAACAACTGTAGCAATTAATATAAAGAATATAAAGAAAGCAGACACATCAACACAGTCAAGTGGGGATGATGCAATTCATCTAGAACTAATATGTGTTCTATGCTACAGTATATTTTCATTCTAGTACATTTACAGTTTGTATGTCATGAAACGAGTTATCAGTGTAGATGTTTAATTCTGTTTTTGTGAATGTGAAAAAATTGTATATAAATGACTGACATTTTCAAGTGCTAAATGTAGCTAAATGGGTTTCTTACAGGCATTCTATATAGCCTTCCACTTTACTATATCTATAAGTATCTCCTAACACATACATATAAAGTACCAGGCTGAATTAAGAATATCTGAATCTCTACTTGGGTGAATGGAATGAATATCTGTTCTTCATATGTGGAGTGATAAAATGTGAAGGAATGACATTTCCTCGGCCTCTCTCATTAGCTATTCTGTCTGTGTTGGTGCTGGTTGAAGGCCAGGCCTCACCCCTCAAAGAAGCGCAGATGGGGTTTGAATGTCACCCTGCAGAAAAGGCTGCTAACACAGTTTAAAACCTCCTGCTCTTACACACACACTATGGTCCTCCCAAATGAACCATTACAAATGAACCATTATCGTTACAGTATCTCTTGATGTTTGATTAATCTTCTTCTGACCATAGCTTAGCGTAAGTCATCCTGTGCAATATTAGAGGACTTGCATGGCAGCACAGACAACGGATGTTTCTATATGTAATCAGGGTATTGTGAATGAAAGTGAAGCTGGAACCATGGCCACTAGGTGGTGAAGGTGTGCTCTGTCTTTTTGAGCAACAGACTTTTGTGCAGAGGTTGACGCAACACTTGTGTATCATATGTAAAATGCTCATGACCCAAACAGTAAAGGCAGATAGCACAGGTTCAATAACATGAAATAAAAACATCATTACTCTTTCTCTTCTTTATGGTTACAGTTGAAGCAAGCTCTGTGTTCGTTTTGGTCAATATCACTGATGATGATGTAGAAGTTGCCAAAGTGTGTAGCTTTGCTAGGTATGTTGTTTGGACTTTGTGACTTGCCCAGATGCTGCATCAGTTATACACCATACACGATAATCATTTTTGTTCCAGATGCCCCATGTATGTTGTTGGGACACCGTCGGGCTGATACTGTTTTGTCTGATCTTTCAATTCAATTCAATTTTATTTATAACTAGGGGGGAAGCCAATAAACTCACATAAAAACCACACATAAATACGAAAAACAGTATTGAGCAGGACCATGGTGGCAGCAGACTGACTCGCAACCTCAAACCACAGTCTAGGCCTATAGCAACATAGCTAAAGCCTAGTTCACACTTCACGATTTTTAGCCCAATTTGTCAGGTTGTGATCAGGAGTAAATCAGCGGTTGATCTGCGGTCACCAGTCTTTATGTGTGAACTACACAACGACGCATCAAAACGGCTCACGGACACATTTCTGACACATCGCCGACGTCTGCCTAGCATCTAGCATGCCAAATATCTGGTGGAGTCAACCGACTCGACATCCACATCCAGCCAATGAGAGCATGCAGCTGGCAGAGCAGGCAGCTACTTTTTCACCGCAAAACACTTTTTACTCCCCTCCAGCTCTCTCTGTAGCACAGATTGCATGTGCTAATCCATTCTTTCACCCATATCTTTGTCTTTATAATTGCTGTCTTTATAATAACAAACAACAGCTGTTTCGCCCTATTTACACACATGCTTTACACACCCTACTGACACACAGACACACAGATAAAATAACTTATCGGTCGCAGCCTCACAGATTTGGATGAGAGAAACACAAGGCCATACACACAATAAGTTGCAGAAGTGAATACAAGCAGCAGGAGAGGATGAAGGACATGTTCTAATGTCTTAAACTGGAAGGAAGAAGGAACAGAAGCAAAAGCATTTCATTGATTTTCAGATTTTTGAAAATGCAATTCTCCTCCCAGGCTGCTATCGGTTCGCAGTAATGTCTCAGTGTGCTATGAACTAAATTTTTAGATCTATTTCATGATCTACTTTGGCAATCGTTGGTAATCGTTACTATGGATACCATATATCCATTCAGGACAGGTCAGCTGCTCGTCCTTCTCTCTGTTTGCTCCAATTCCATCAAAAAACAGACTGCTGGTGGATTCTCTCCTGAATGAGAAAACAGAGATGATGAGGGAGAGCAGATTGTAAGAAGTGGCGCAATCATTTTTGTCCTTCTTTTCTTCATGAGAAAATAAAACAGGGCAATGTAGAACTCAGTCATACTGCCCTGCTATGACGAAAAGAGCTCATTACTTGAAATGATGAAATGATTTTGGAAAATACCACATTACTGGGAAATATTTCACTTGTACTATGACGTACATATCAACACTGTGCAACCAATCTGCAGTTTACAAGCATAAATGCAACATAGCAACAAAACACATCTGGTCTTCTGAAACAGAATAATTCCTACAAAACAGCTGTTATCTTTTTTTCCCTCAAGAGTCAGTCTTTTACACATTGCACTGTCTGATAGAATTGCACCACTAAATTGCACTACAGTTGGAATCGAACCGGTGACTCCAACACTCAAGTGTAAGAAATAAAGAAGAAAATATCAACGTTGTTGTTATCAACTGTTTCATCCTATTATAAAAATAAAAAAATAGACGTATAACATGAAATTCTATAATACAAAATACAAAAACATCAAAAAGCAAGTATGAGAATCTTGGAGTGTAGACATAGTATATAACTACATCCAGAGAAGACTGGGGATTGGGACTGGGTTTAGAGCAGTGGAATCCGAATCAGAAAGATGTGCATCGAACGAATGGTGTCCACAGTTTATCTCCACTACTTCTGACATTTAGTATCCTCTATTGCAGGCACTGGGCTGTGTGCACCTCTGGAAAAACAAGTGATGATCCTTCATCAAAAACACTGAAGGTTGATTAGAGGCAGCTAAGATCCTTACAATGGCTGAGTCAACAGAGGTTCGAACAGATGGCAATTCTCTGCTGAAGGCTGTCTATTTGAGTCGTCTGCGTCTGACTCGACTGCTCTTGGAGGGAGGGGCCTACATAAATGAGAGTAATGAACACGGCGAGACACCACTTATGGTGGCTTGCAAGACACACCATACAGATTCACAGAGTGTACCCAAACTTAAGATGATTCGGTATGTTCTATCAGAATACACAGCCCGTTCTCATTCCCAGAGCATCAAATAGCAACGCTTTGTCACATGCTTCAGCAGCTGGTACCAACCACATGGCATTGCGTCATAGATGAATACAAGCCTTTTAAATTAATGAAAGAAGCCTTTTAAAGCCATTGTTCAATGCTAAAAGTACTACTATAGATAACCGAAAAGTCAAAGAAAGGAGGTGGTTGGGGTGGATGGGTGAAACAAAAAGTTAACGTGAATTGTGATGTTACATAACTTATGTAAGTAGCATTACTTAACTTATGTAATTTAAGTCACAAGTAACAATAGTTAATAAATAGTTATTTGAACCCAACCAATGATCGTTATTCTTGCTAACTTGATCGCTGAGTCCTACATGTACAAAAACAACACTAAAAGGTACCCAGGGAGTTAAAAGGTGTGTTGGCAAAGCATCCATTTATCATGCCCTGGGATGAGAACGAGTTGAAATACATGTATGATTCATGAAAGCATGTGTTTTTATTTATAATTACTAGCTTCCACTTCAGGAGTTTCCTGGTGTAATAAATGTTATCTTTGCTATTAATAGGTATCTTCTGGAAAATGGTGCTGATCCAAACATCCAAGACAAGACGGGGAAAACAGCTCTGATGCATGCATGCCTTGAACAAGCTGGAGCTGAAATTCTGTCACTCCTGCTGAGCAGTGGAGCGGCTCCAACTCTGGAGGATCATGCAGGTTTTTCAGCATTGGTTTATGCTATCAATTCAGGCAACAGGGAGGTCCTCAGGGTCCTCCTGGATGCTTGTAAAGCGAAGGGTAAGGAGGTTATCATCATCACCACCAACAAACTGCCATCCGGCCATCATTTGTCGAAGCAGTACCTCAATGTGCCTCCACCTCCTGACCTTGAGGAGTGTTTACATTATACCCCAACATCTTGTTGCATGTCTCCATATGAGGTCCAGCTACGAATTGCTCCACAAGCCTCCTCAGCAAGTGCTTCTCCTCAACCTGGTAGCCCTCATCTTGAGTGTTTAGGCTCAGGGCCTGGTATAGTCACATCTCGAGCAAGTTCTCCAATACAACATTCTAGTCCTTTGCTTATTCCTGGTGTGGATAAGCAACTTAATCTCCAGAGGCTACACTCCGAGCAGTGGTCCAAAAGTCCTTCCCTGCTGCTCCAGCAGAGCCAGGCCTCCTCTCTGACAGAGGAGCCAATGGAAATTACACCTGAGGAGGAGTTGTCTTTCAGAGTCAATAACTCTGCCTTCCAGAGAAGACCTCCAGCTGTTTCACGCCACCATAGCATTGATGTCAAAAACACAACAGGGCTTCTGAAAGCACTAGAGAACATGTTAGGAAATGAGAATAGGTGGGGGGGTGGAAAAAGATGCTTTGGTAGAAAAATGTCATATGATAGTGCTGCAAGTTCACCACATTCTGCTTCCCACCCAAACTTGCATCAAGTCAGTCTCCCCTTTCCCAGTGAACCCAGTCCTGTGGATGGAGATTCTTCTGACTGTCTCAGACAACTGCAAGTTTCCAGTCTGCAAAATGTAGTCTGTCGGCGGAACATTGGCATTGACCACTACAATTCTGACTCTCAGTTGCCACAGTTTAATATCCGAGACAATAGCTCAAAGAATGGTGGCGGAGCTGCAGCAGGACCAGAAAAGCACAAGCTAGTCAACAGCAGATCCTCCACTCTATCAGGATCCAGAGAGTCCCTGGAGAGCTCTGTCCAGAGACGAGGCGCCGCCGGTCTGGAGCGAAGAGGCTCAGGGGCCCTTCTTCTGGATCACATTGCCCACACTCGCCCTGGCTACCTGCCTCCTCTGAATCCCCATGCTCCTATACCAGATATCGGGGTCAGTTCTAGCTTTTCCTACCCTTTGAGTGGAAATAGTAAGACACTGAATGGTACAGGATCAAAGCCTATTCCACCCTGTGCTGCTGTTTTCCAGAGGGACCTAAAACCTAAGAAAATGCTGTGGAGACGCCACTCAATGCAGAGTGAGCAGATAAACCAGCTGGTCAACTTCAAGGAAACTTTTGGCAACTAGAATAAACATTGTATCATGAGAAAATGCATGGACCATCATATACCTATGATACTATTGCTGATGCCAGCTCATGTGCACTTTAGCCTGAGCCTACAATGATGTACTGTTTTTAGACTTCTCATTACAGAATTTCATGTCGTCATACTAGCCACAGGGACAGTTTGAGCTTGTGATGAAACAATAATAAACGTAAGAATACAAAATGTAACTTTAGTGTGGAACTTTAGCACATTTTGGCATTATGGTTACCTGAGGAATTGAAAAAATGTCTTTACATACTCTAGCACTTTCCCAGAAGAGCTATAAGGTCAAATTTATTTATTATTTCTAAAGCTTTCAAGATCATGTTTACTTCCTCCTGGATTTTCTTAGTTGTCATGGAGATGGTTTCCATTTAATCATTCCATGACCTAAGTTGGGAATTTTGATAACATGACAGATAACATGGGTTTTTTTTAGGGGGGGGGTAGACGTCACATGGTCTCTGGCATTGGATCTGAATGTCCTCCTTGATCTTTCTCCTGCCGTCCACTGACTTCTGATCGATTCCTTTCCAAACGATGCTGTGACAGTTTTGGTCTGGTGCTCAGGTTCTGGTTTCACTGATGTAGTGTTCCCCACAGCTTTCACATATAATATCATCTTTTCTAGTGCTTGTGTATACCTGACTGCAGAAAAATGATGTCTGTTCTTTTTGTACAAGATGAATGTTTTGTATATAGCCCCTGATAAATAAAGTAACAAAATAAACAACTAAAACTAAAAACAGCCTACGTATGGGAGGATTCTGGAAAAATTTTCATCATCAACTCTTTGTACCTGTTCGCTGTAAGTGCCCCTTGGACATGATGTACCTCTCTCTCTCTATCCACCTCTTCACAAATAAGAGGTAGCGCTCCGTGTCATAACCTTTTACATTGTCAGTGGAGGTTAGAGTTAAAATGAGGGTACTGGTCTGACTGCATGGGCGTTCTGTACTCTTGTCAGTTTTCACAAGGTGAAACAGGTTGTACAATGAAAAGAAAGCTTGTAGTCCCTTCATCCTGCACACACAGAACTTAACAGATCATTAAATGTGTATTAAAATATGGTAACATTTAATAAAACAGTAGGCTAAATATTTATATTTATATACAAAAGCAACAAACATACACATATCTACCCAGAACATTCTGCAGTGCATTTTTTTGAATTTGCAGCTGGGGAGAATGTAAACAGCAGGAAGAAGATGATAATATGATTTCATCTTCACATCATCGATGTAAAACACACGTGCAGAGGCCTCCTCCTCTCACGTTCCACTGACAGCTCGGAACACAGGCTGCCCCTGAGTGTTGATCTGGAATGTTGAAGGGGCAGGTCTCTGTGAAGATTTGGGTTCAACTGTCTCTGATTTCCATTGCTTGGCATACACGAGTCCCATTTAGTCCAGACTGGACCCTTAAGCCAATCACACCACCTGCTGTGGTGCTTGGTCCAGTTGATCGGGACGGGTCGATCGTGGTCTGCTGCTCTTTAATCCAAAAACCCTGTCTTCTTTTACACAATCCCCTATATGGTGCGGCACTGGTGTAGAGGTAGAGCGGGCCATCAGTGTGTGAATGTGTGTGAATGGGCTGAATGTTGACATGTAGTACAAAGCGCTTTGAGTGGAAGGACAACCAAAATGGTCTATAGATGCAGTCCATTTTTATGGCCGCTGACCAAAACTTCTTAGCTCAAATTCTAATGACTAAACAATCTCCCTGACAACTGAGTAAATCCGCAGAGGAAAGCCATGAGATGTGGTTTAAAGGTTTGGAAACGATAAGTGGGAACTTGTGTTAGTTTTTTTTGCCAATCTGTTATTCACAAGGTCAAGAATGAACCTTCAAGCCGAAGTTACATGGTTGTTCAATTAAAAGAAGTATTTGATGAGTCTATACCTTGAGGCATGTCATACAATTCATAGTGGAATATGGCAGTATTCTAAATATGTGGATTTCAGACATAAATCAACAGCATTTATGTTTCATTGTATTCTCTAAAGAAGAAACATGACATGTGCTTTTTCAAAACCAACAGGGTTTGAGACTTGCCACAGCAAGTCTCAAACCTACAGAAGGCACCAATGTGCAGAGTGAAATGCAGCTCAACAAACATCCACTTCCAATCTACTGGTTAAAATTGGACTAGAAAAGTGGTTTGTGTGAATTATAAGTATTTATAGTACATGGTATAGTATATAAGTATTTTTGCATATATAATGTGCATTGTGTACATAATTATAGTTTTATCATTAACTTTTCATTATTTTAGAAATGATCAGTTATTAAAGATGACATGTATTCTATTCAAAGACATAAATAATATATCCACAATCTACATTTGGACTGCACTGCATATCACTGTTGGAACACAGTTTATTTTATCGCTATCAGTGAATCTAATAACAAACAATGCAAGCTACATGTTTCAAATCACCTTAGAAGTGCTGAAAGTAGTTTGCTACAATATACCGTATAAGACAGATCTCACATTAGGCAATACACTTACATTACCAACATTTACAGAATCTATCATTAGGATAGATATTATCTATCCTATATGTAATCAAGTGATCAGTGAAGACATCCTCTACAATCACTGATGCAAGACACACATTGCATAATCATGTGGGCTCAGTAAAAGTCGGTTACTCTATTGCAACTTACAGGTGTATCTAATTAAATGTAACTCTGAGCCCGTTCTCTCTGATGGGAGCCTTGTCCACCTCTGTGAGCCTGTCCACAAGCTTTCTGATTGATTTCACTGCCTTGCTGTCTATTCTGCTCTAATGTTTAAAGGAAATGCTAGTGTTCACAACCTTTTTTACAGTATGTAGTTACCAATTGCATGTACTTTGTACAAACATAATGTATTTCAATGCGAAACATGTCTTTCTACATGTTTTGTTGTACCAAGTCAATGTCAGATGTACTTATAGTTGTGGAAAAAAAAGTCCTTTTTGATAATGTGTTGTGTTTTTTGTATTAATAACCCCTACACTGATATTTGAGTGACTAGGTATCAAGATGTGTAACTTACAGTTAGATGTGGTCAGTGCTTGAAGTGGCAAAAAATAGGTGCCAGTACATCTTCATGGCAGTATCACTGAGAATTCATACCCTCTATCGTTTCACTTTCAGTTTTCACAATTCATTGCATTTCAAATTCAGTTCACTGAGACCACTTTTTTGTGTTCAAATCGACAATTAAAATGATTTACCTGCAGTGATGTCCCACCATTCCACATGATATTATCCAACATATTGTTGGAGGCAGGGAGGGCAGTATTTATGATACATGTTTTTAAAATACGTATTTCAATTACAAAATAGGATTTTGTCATTTGTATTTGATAGGCATGAAAATGGCTTGATATTTTGTATCAAAATAGTGTTTTGTATTTTATATTTTAAAAATACAGTAAAATACTTTGTGACATGTCTCACTGAAACTTGCTGAAATTCGAAAATGAATTTGGTATTTAGGATTGGGCATTTGGTATTTAGGATAGGGCATTTCATAATTTTGTCTGACCAAATAATTGCTCCATAGATTGTCAGGATATGGGGAGTGGAAAATATGAAATGAAACATTAGTCATGTAATTATCTCCTGTAAAAAGACACCTGATAAGATAAAATAAGATTTTGTGGGTTTTAATGCTTTCTTGTCCTTGAAACGTATCAATACGATATTTCCCGTCGAGGTGAAAAGCTGTCTCGCGATATCAACATAGCGTGAGGGTGAAGTTAACATAGAAGCTGCCCTGCCACTTTCAGATTGTTTGTGTGGCAGCATTTTGGGGACCCTGTGCTGTGTTTCCCACAATATAACAGTAACTGTGGTGGTGGTCATTCTACACATTATTTTAGTTTAAGAGCAGTGGTTTTCAAAATCTTTCACGCCAAGGACCCCTAAACTGACACAAATTATACTGTGGACCCCCATTTGATTGAAGATTTTGTCCCAGGATTGCCCATCTGATAGGACTTTTGGGTAGGTAGGTAGGTAGGTAGGCAGGTTTATTTTGTTACAAGGATATAGGGTGAAATTCAGTTTGTAACTCTCCTTCTGCTACATAGCAGACAATATCCAATATTATATCAAATGTTATAAAAACAGAAATAAACTATATTCAATGGAGCAGAGCTGAGGATGTATTTGAGATTAAAGGTCTGATAGCTTGGGGGGAAAAGCTGCTCTGCAGTCTTGTGGTGTGGCAGCAAAAACTTCTATCTCTCTTCCCAGAAAGCAGCAGGGTGAACAGGCCGCTGGGCTCAGCAGACAACTCAACTCACCAATATACTAATGCTCGGGAGATGGATACAGAACCTTCCGGTCCTGGGTTGTGCACATCCCATGCCAGTTTGTGATGTTTGCAGTCAGGATGCTTTCTATTGCTCATCTGTAAAATTAAGTTTTATAAACTAGATTCAGGAACTAAGGCCACAAACTCGTCCAATGCGGAAGCACACCAAGTACTTAAGCACACCTTTTCTATTCACCTCCCCTTGACTCAGCTTTGTCATGACCGTGACAAACAAAATCACCTACCTCCAAAACGGACTCAGAACTCGTTCTCAATCTTTCGGACAGCGACATGTTCAACGAGCATCTAACGTCAGATATACAGGAGTCTTCGCCTTCTCCCAAACAACTTCGTCTGAAATGTTGGCTGGATTCAGCTATTCATATTCCCCGGCGATCTCAGCCTACAATTCGAATATTGTCGGGCCTTCGACTGCCAGCTCCAAGCACACAGCCTCAACTAACCGCCAACCAAGCGACCTCCAAGCCAGCACCCCGATTGTCCACCCACTCCAAACATTTCTGAATGGAAAGTCATCCGGCTCCAACAAGAATTCAACCGGAGAAACATCTCCTTCCAGCACTCCGACATCAAAGCAAAACATTTTCAACTGTACAAGGATTCGCACACAACTCTCCAACACCGAGCTTCCCCAGCACTTCTGGGT